CGGGTTTCTGGCGAGAAATATCTGCAAACAATTGCTGTCGACGATCGTGGCGTCCGACTGGCGGTTGAGTATCATATGAATGGACTGCAAATCGGAGGCCGACTCCTGTTTGTGGCCAAAAAAGGACGAGTTTTCGCCCAAATGTCTCAACTCCTTCATCGTTATGTAGTGTCCGGTCAGCGATTGGCTGGCATTGTATACCCATTTGCAGCCCCGGAGCTCAGCAAAGCATTTAACCCGTGATCTGAGATGTGATTAAATATTTGTTTAATTATTAATTAAAGTTTTTAGTATTTTGTGGGTTCACTCGACTAATACCCGAGCGACTCGTGTATGATGACATCGCAATAGTACCCGGCACTGTCCGCAGCGTCGGGATGTATGTGCACGGATGACACCGGCAGTAGAGCAGCCTTTCCTTTCTGTGCCAGTTGTATATGGGATGTGCCACTGATCCACGCTATCAATCAATGGCAAATAAATGTGTCATTTATTTGTTCACATAGACGTCAATATAAAAATTATTTCAAAAAATAAATGTTGGACTCAATACACAAATACCGATATCTATCTCATTGTCGGCGAACACTTGAATTATGTTACGTGTGTTGGACTCGTATCGCAAACTCGTGTCGATGTAACCCAACCGTGTTTTCAGGTAATCCAGAATAATCTGTTTTATTATATACATAAATAGTTTATAATTATCTATTTATCAAAGTTTTATAACTATTTTTGATAGAAATTCACTCATACCTCAAAATACTCGATGGGAATACTGGGCGATAAATAGGTGGCCGCTCGTAGTCTTACTGTTTGTCTATTATTATTATCATTTGTATTATAATCCATTGATTGTATGACATGATTGCCATTTAACTCGCCGTTCATGATCTGTGACACTTTTATGTTATTGGTGTTAAATTTAACACTGAAATGAATATCCAACTCAATACCTCTCAAAATGACAAATAGTTTTCCACGACTTTCCAAAACTCAAACTTCAAATTTCAAATTTCCAATAAATTCCTATATAATAGGTTTAACAGTTAAGAGTCTTACGACTAAAGACTTTTAAACTGGTTAAACTACTTATATATGAGTCTCAAAAGTCTAACCTTTGGAAAACTTTACTCGTGTATATTAATATAATTTATTAAATATTGGAAAATTTTCAACAACACTGATTAAGACAGATGTCTATTAAAAATTATTGATTACAAACATTGAGTTAATATTGTTGGACCCTTTTATAAACATTCAAAAAAAAGTTTAAAAAGTTTTCAACAATTTTTCCAATAAAAGTCGTTAAAAGTGGTGATAAAGTGATTAGGAATTTGTTCCCATTTTTATCTCTAGTAACTTGAGTCTAGTTATTAAAATGA